TGGACATTGCAATATTTAAGACATTCTTTAATATGGTAACCTAGATATGTCTCATAGAAATAATTTGTGTTGCCCTTTCCCCAAGTTATCATGTAGTTTTCACATTGATGGGTGATCTTCTAAAGAATGTTCTTCTGTCAAAATTCAAAGAAAGCCAGGTACATGCATAAAGTATTTTGTTCTTTATGTCTCACTGGATGCTATTCCAGAAGGTCCTCTACTCCTTGAGAGCAGTTCTTCGGGGTGCAGGAGGTCTTGTAGGGAAGTAGAGTCAAAGGTGGACTGTCGAAGAGCCACATGTGGCTCCCAAGCCACTGATTATCAATCACTCCCTGACACGGATATTTACTCGTTTCCATTGTTTAACAGTTCTGTAATCCTAGTACTACCACTTTCTTCATTAGATGTGTTATTCTGAGTAAATTTTTATATTTTATTGTAATCTGCCTTGAGTCTTAATGAGAAATGGGGGCTATAAATAAATTTAGGAGGAAGAAATAAAAAGACAGAGAAAACAGGCTGCACTTACTTGTAACTTTTGTTCACTGAGCAGTCTTCTGTGCAGGTACACGGGCCAGCCACGGAGATGAAGAATCCAGAGTTATCCAGAATTTTTCAAGTACCCAGAGCGCTCCCATCTGAGCCAATGTTCCCTCTAAGCTGAGTTGGTGTGAGCTGGCTCACAGTTTTTTAGCCTCCGGCTCACACATTTTTGTCCTAGCACAGGAAGGCGGGCTCCCGAGCAAAGTAATTTCTCCAGCATCCAAATCGCTCGCTCACAACTTTCATGCCAGGAGCTCAGAAAGTAGAATTGTTGCTCACAAGACTCCACAGCTTAGAGGGATCATTGCCCATCTCCCCTCTGAACCAGTTTGGTGTCGTGGTTAAGTGCATGGACCCTAATCTGGGAGAACCAGGTTTGATTCCCCACTTCTCCACTTGCACCTGCTGGATGACCTTGGGCAAGCCATAGTTCTGTCGGAGCTGTTCTTGAAAAAGAGCAGTTTCTGTCAGAGCTCTCTCAGCCCCACCTACTTCACAGGGTGTCTGTTGTGGGGAGGGGAAGGGAAAGGAGTTTGTCAGCCGCTCTGAGACTCCAAGTGAAGGGTGGGGTATAAATCTAATCTCTTCTTCTTCTTCTACCTCACAGGGTGTGTCTGTTGTGGGGAGGGGAAGGGAAAGGAGTTTGTAAGCTGCTCTGAGACTCCGAGTGAAGGGAGAGGTATAAATCCAATCTCCTCCTCCTCCTCCTCCTCTTCTTCTCTGTCTCGGGCTGGTGTTTCCCACCCAAACTGGCATGTGATGGACATGGGGAGAGCACTTGTTATTCAGTTCTCCCTTCACCACCACGGAGAAGACAGGCTCTCGGAGTGAGAGCAGCCTACAGCGGGGAAAGGTGTGTCTGCACAGAAGACAGTTAACAAGTTACAGGTAAGTAGTGAAACCCCGTTTTCATCTTTGTGGCTTCTGTGCAGTCTGAGACAACAGCAGGCTCGTTTACTGAGGAATAACAACAAGCACACAGGGAACACGGCTAAGTTAGATAAACACAGAAAACACCGTGTTGAAATATTCACATGTACTTATAGCTAACTCAGTTTTCCCTTCACCGCCACGGAGAAGACAGGCTCTTGGAGTGAGAGCAGCCTACAGTGGGGAAAGGAGGGAAAGGTGTGTCTGTACAGAAGACCACTCAGTTAGCAAGTTACAGGTAAGTAGTGAAACCCCGTTTTCATCTTTGTGGCTTATGTGCAGTCTGAGACAACAGCAGGCTCGTTTACTGAGGAGGCAAGTGTGGGTTGATGGGGGGGGGGGACAACCCCTGACTGTAACACCACTTTCTCCACAGCCACTCCATTTCTGGAATTTACATCAATGTAGTGCTTCACAAATGTGGATGGGGTCAAACAGGTGGCAGTTCTGCAGATGTCATCCAAAGAGATCCTGCTCAGAAAAGCTGCGGAAGAGGTCTGTGCTTTGGTGTAGTGAGCCTCGGCTAGGAAAGGACCTGGGACCTTAGATAGAAAGTATGTAAGTCTGACAGACCATGGGAAATAGAGCAAGACAGAACCTGGGCTTGTCCATTATTTGGTCCACATAGACATACAAATAAATCCTGGTCCTTCCCAAACGCCTTTGTATGTTGCAAATAACATGTACAGGTCTGCTAACATCTAATGTGTTCAATGCTTTGCTTGCAACGCAGGGGTTGGGGAAAAAAATACAGGTAGCATTATGTCCTGAGAAAGGTGGAATGGAGAAACCACTTCTAGTAGGAGATTCAGAGTAGGGTGAAGGACCACCTTGTCCTTATGGACTTCATGAAAGGTTGGTCACACTGAAGGGCACACAAGTCCCCCACTCTATGCACTAAGGGGATGACAACTAAAAATGCAGTCCTGTGTGACAGAACACACAAATCACACATAGCTAGGAGTTCAAATAGTTTATGCACAAGTGCACGTCACACCATAGACAAGCTCCATGTAAGTACAGGGGGGAGAAATCGGTGGGTATAAACTGCACAGTCCCTTAAAAAATCCTCTCGGCTGAGAAGCAGAGAACACAATGGAACCCTCCAACCTGTCATGGAAAAGTAGAGATAGCTGCCAGGTGTACTTTTAAGGACGATACCGATAAACCTGCATATTTCTGAGACAACAAATACTCAAAAATGTCTGAAAGGGATAGGAATCAAGATGGACTCCATCGGAGCCTGCCCAATTACTAAATCTCAGCCATTTAGCTGAATGCAATTTACAGGTAGCTAGCTGATGAGCTAAGAACCTCAGCTATCCCAGGAGGCAACGGTGCTAGTGACATACCAGGCACACTGTGCGATGTAGCGACCAGACATCATGGTGAAAGAGGGGGCCTCTGTGTGAACCAGGTCCTCCTCCACTGGAAACCTTATGTGAACCCGCCTGGAAAGGTCTGACAGGCTGGAGAAACAAACTCTCCTGGGTCAATATAGGGCTATGACACTGGCAAGGGGAAGTGTTCCGCCTTCAGTTTGGCAATTACCTTGGCTAGGCTAGAAGAATGACGAAAAGCATAAAATGGGCCCCCACACCAGAGCAGGTTCTACAGTGCCAAGACCACAGCCACACAACCCGGAAAATCTACAGCAACTAATGAACTCCGGCTGTGAAAGCCTTCGGCAACAAATCTGTTTGGGCAAATTGATAGCGAGGGCGGTGGCGACAGAGTTACAGGGCTTTCTGGATGACGCTTCAGTCCTGGATTCCTTCCAGTCCGGCTTTCGCCCGGGTCACGGGACGGAGACTGTTCTGGTTGCCCTGACAGACGATCTCC